GACATCAATGCCGGAGTGGGGACACGCCTAGCATCGAGAGGTGCCATCGATGCTAGGGTGGGGTGATGTGTTCGGGCGGAGAAAATAAAAAGATACTTATGCCGGATTCCGAGTGGTTGAGGAGTAGATGGATTCCGAGGAGAGAGGTGGTTGTGCTATGCACATGGGGAGTACTTACCTACGCATGGTGCGCGTAGAGACGATTTGACGGACTCTGTCCTGCGACTTGTCGTATGGCCGACTTGTCGTACGGACTTGATTGTGATTGCTGCGTGCTTACAGTGATTTATGTGTTCAATTCCTGTTTATTAGAATATTAGTACATACACACATATATCTATATGTTTGTGCTTTCCCTGGCACCATGAGAATGGAACTCCGGGTTACGCCCGAGTTCACTCTCTAAGCAATTAGCTTAGGACGTTGTTACGCAACGTTTCAGGTCGTGAGCAGCAGTAGCCGAGGAGCGGACATCGAGGACTGGTGTGACCTGTCGTGTGATTATGTATAATTATTCTCTACGGTACATTTACGTTTTTGGGGAACGGTTTGTGTTATATCGGTGGTAGACTTTTATGGTTTGTAATAATGTGATACTACCACTGTGTATGTATAATTATAACTGGAATAATGTACCGTATATGTATGTAAGAAAGTTTCTTCCGCTGAACTCTAAAAATAAAAGTTTTAAATTCCCGCGGATTTTTGGAAATGCGATTTTTATTTTACTTGTCCATGTGGCGCAACTCGTATTGCGGGATACGGGTTTCGGGTGTCACATTTATATATATGAATGTATGTACGAAAAATATTAAACTTTTAAATCAATATATTAAATACTTTAAGGGAGCGTTGTCTCTTTAAGAAAAATAAATTATTTAATAAATATAAAAAAATTAAATAAATGTTTACTGAAGAGAGCGTTGTCTCTTTAAGAAAAATAATCTATTTAATAAATATAAAAAATTAAATATAGATAGATGTTAATATATTAATTGAATGAACGAAATTTTTTTTTTAAATCTTGACATGTCACACCCTCGTTTAACGAAGTGTACTTTTATATATATGATTTTCTTTTGATTGGTATTACGCATTCCTCCTAATCATCTACTCAAATATATATGCAGATAAAAGAATTAATGATTAATTCATGACCTTCCATGTGACTCTTCGACTTTGCGGTTAATGAACTGCAAGTTAAACATTCGAATCTATTTTTAAGTGTGAATTAATTATTCATTTGACTGACACCCTTGATTTTTTAATTGAGAACTCTTATGCAAAAATTAAAATGCAATGTTTCATATTTTCAAAAAAGGAACACGTGTCAGATCCGTAGGAAAACTCTACTTTTATCTATAAAAACATAGATTTTAATATTATTATTTTTTAATATATAAATTAATATATTTTAATAATTTAAAATTATGATGTGTGTGGGCCCCAAAATTTCACGAGACGATCCTGCTACCCAACCAAAGAAGATAGTGTTGGTAGGAGGCTAAGATGCTACCCTTGTTTCTGAAACCAACTAGATCGATAGGTTTCACAATTAGAACCTCAACATTTGGTTCTGCTATCACGCTCATGCTCTCCAAACGGACTTTTATAAGAGAAAAGGATACATACCGTTCCAGAGCTTTAAGCTTAAGAAGGTGATTCCTAATCAATGAAATTCGATGTTTCTCTAAAAAGTTGGGGATTCACCCTCTCTTCCGGCCATAGCCATATACATAGACGCAAAAGAGGAATGATTTATATCCTTGCCAAATTGATATCAATTACCCTCATTTTCACTAAACCAGGTCTTGTTCTTACTTCATTCCTTTTCCAAACAAGAAGGAATTCACTTCTGTCATGTTTTCATCTTGAACTGAAAGTATCAAAATTCGTCGCAGTATACATTTAATTTTTGTTTTTGTTAGTCTAAATACAAACGGTATAAAGTGGTAAACCAAGGGAAGAAAATTATGGTTCAGATTAAGTCGATTCTGCAATGGTACACATCGATTGTGCGGGATATTGATCGATTATATCTCTCTCATTCAACTCTGAAATCGGATCTTCTACTTCAAACCGTCTTCCAATGTCCTATAATGTCTGGGAATGTCGTTGGATGTCATACTTAAATTGATCTTCTTCTTGTTCTTCAACACGTATTAGGTGTGCTGTGTTGGTAGAATTCATTGTGTAAGAGAGGAACATTCATGGAGATTCAAAATTTTTCTTAAAGGGCGTTGTTGTATTACTATCTGTAACCGTTATGTACAAAGTATTCAAGTACTCAGTAAACTTTGACAATAAAAGGCAACAAAGTATTCAAGTACTCAGTATTACTATCTGTAACCGTTATGTAAAATTAGAAAACCAAAGTTGTAGAGAAGTCGATGCCAGAGTTGGATCCTTAGTGCGTAGTGCCGCCATTTTGATTCTGAACCCGTTATCTAACTCTTTAAGCAAAGCCGTTTCTGATAGGAATACTTATGAGTGACGCCTCGAGTTCCTTTCCTTCCAAACCGCATATATGATGAGTTTCCATAAAATGATATCAAGCCATTAGAGTTGGTGATTCGGTCAGCAACTCGTGAACATACCAATGAGTTGAGACCATTGTATATAAGGGACTTGGATTTCCAAGCATAAGAAGCCGTGGATTAGTAGCTTTTGTGTGAAAGGACACTCGAAGAATATATAGAGCGAACGGGATTCTATGGCGTCGTTATGGAAAGAGCATTTGCGATCAACTTGAAGACCCCAAGCCAACATCTTTTCTTTAGTTGGGCCTCTGTTATGATAGAACATCCAACTTATAAAGGCATGTTTTGAGGTTAGATGTTTCACCCATACCATCTTCATCCAAGGGACGCTATTGTCAGATTTTTGTAAGAGAGACCAAAGAAGCTTGGTCTTAAACTCATCCACTTCCTTGTCATGTACTTCCATATCTTCCGATGGCGGCCTTGTAAGACACCACTTTGTTGGACAGAAATC